TATATATATATATATATATATATATATATATATATATATATATATATATATATATATATATATATATATATATATATATATGTGTGAGTGTATGTATGTTATTTTTTATGTAGATGGAGTACTGTTTTATGTCCGCCATAAGAACACACAAAAACAGCACAATGTAAAAGTGGTCAGAGGTGCTGCAGAGGCAGACCAAATTTTCAAAGAATTTCATGCCAGCGAGGCAGGTGGTCACAGTGGCAAAGAAAAAACAATTCATGCCATTTCCAGCAGGTACTACTGGCCTGGAATGAGTCTTGACATTGAAAAGTGGGTGAGTTTTACTGATCTCACAATTAAATATTCAACACAAACAGTGCTACTTCCTATGAAAAAAACAGGTATGAAATAATATTTTATTTTATACTATCTGCAGATTAAACAGTGTTCTGCTTGCCAGTCCAATAGAACTGTCAAACTCCAGGAGGAGTACACTCCAATAATTGTGTGTTTTTCTTTTATTATTATTATTATTATTATTATTACTACTACTACTATTCATTGTTTGATTTTTTGTAGGTGAGTGAACCATGGGAATTGATAGGCATGGACTTGATTGGTGACGAAGGAATTTATCGTAGCCTAATGTATGACGTTACACTTCATAAAACAGGCCAAGGGAAATCTGACTCTAGCGATTGAACAGGACGTTACGTACATTAATACATGTATTTATTTATGTAATGAACATGGTGAAATTAACCTTGTGCTTGCGAAAAGACAGCAAAACGGCTGAAATCATGACGTCATGATTTTAGTACTGAAGTTGCGCAGGCGCTGTGAGGGGGAAACAGGGGAACTGAATTTACCGGAACAGCGGCTCCTGCCAGCCAGTTGAAGATTGAACCCCCACTCATTTAAATTGTATTAATGTAATTGCAATGTTTTAAAGTTTACGTGACTACTACCAAGAATCCAACCTTATTTTATACTGACCAGCTATCGAAAATGTAATAGTAACGTAATACGGCAGACAGGTCACACTTTCAAGATGAAAAAAAAAAAGTTAGTTACCCAGCTAACGTTCAAGTTAATCGTAACTTTGGACTCAATAAGCAAATTCTGTAGCATAGAATTGAACATATTTATCCCTTTTGAATCGTCACAAAATAAAAATAACAGTTACACAATGAAAGATATTAATGACTGGTAAAATAATTCTTGGATGTACCAGGATTTCACGTTTTAACTGAGGCATGAATTAGTAGATACACTCACCTCACCTCTTCTTCTTCTTTGAGGTTTGACGGCGGCTTGCATCCAAGAGCGTTGCATTACCGCCACCTTCTGGATTATTCTCCAGCAGTGTTATTCCATTTTATTTCCTCCAGCTTGTTTTCCACAATCATATTCCCGTTTTCCTCATCAAACCCGTTCTACTTAAGAAATTACAAATATTTTTCCTGCTTTGTCTAATCACCCCACTTTGCAGTATATCTTTAATACCTGTCCCTACCAACCCATCTCTTCTTAATTCTTCCATCGTATTTCTCCTCTGATCTTCATAACTTCTGCAACTTAAAAGAACATGTTCTATGGTTTCTAATGTCTGACAATATTCACAAAAACCAGTAGGATGCTTCCCTATAATGTGTAATGTACTATTTAAATTACTGTGTCCTATTCTTAATCTTGTCATCACTATTTCTTCTCTCCTAGTCCCTCCCCAATTCCTCTCTGTACCAACTTTCTTTTGAATGGCATACAAATGTCTTCCTTTAGCTTCCCTGTCCCACTGCCGTTGCCATTCTCTCA